GGTAGAGCATTGACCACCGTACTTTTCATCTTTAAAAAAAATAATCATTTTTATCTCTTATCTGCCTGTGTGTTACTTTTTTGTTGTTGGTGCCCCGCGGCGGAGACACGCGTGTGGGACTGGGGTGGGGGGTTAGTGTAGGAATAGGAATGAAGGGCCTTGAGGAGTGGCTCGCGTCCTCTTCGACGTCCGCGTCGTCCGAGGCCTCAAACAACGCAGGCACCGTGAGCGTTCCGCGGGTGCAGGGAGGCCACGGCGGGGAGGTGCCAGGCGTCACGGATGCTCGCGCACGTCATGAGATGCGAGAGCGCATGCGCGGCCTGTTGGGTGATAGTGTGGTGAAGGCTGTCGTGGCGGAAACGAGTGTCGGAGGGGAGCTCTCGGCACCGCAGTCGGTCAGCACCGCCGACAAAAATCGTGCAGAGGGAGGGAACCATACCGGCAGCGATCAGAGTGGTGAAAGACATCAGAACAGCAACGGCAAAAACAGTGGAGATGGGACTAACAGTTATACGCCTCCGTTGTCGTCAGAGTATTGCCGTGTTGAAGTGATGGTTGTCGATCGTGGAACCCAAACAACATCAACTACCGCTTGTCAAACAGACCCTGTGGAGGATTATGCACCCCGCATCGGATACCCACTAACTGCTTGCTGTACTTGTAGCTGCGGAAGGCGGTTCCCTGGGGAACGGATGCTGCGTGAGGAGTACTTGGGGGAGGCGACGCCGGTTCGCTTCAGGGAACAATTAGATATGATAAAGAACTCCATAGACATGTTGATTGCACGCTACAATCTGCCACCGCCTCCGTTGCCTCGTGTATAGTGAGGCGCACGCATTTCTTTTTAAAATACTTTTTTTGTGTTTGTTTTTGCTTTGTCCTCCTTCACCCTTTTACCACTTCGTGTATGTGGGTCTGCGTGTGCGTATGTGTGAATCATTGTTCCACCTTCTTTGCCTTGTTTTTACTGTGGCGTTTTCCTGTATTTATCGCTGCCGTTGTTGGTATCCGGTGCGTTGATAATCAACAGCTGTGCTTGTGTCAACGTCTCACATGCTTTTTTGATGTGTGTGATATCTTGTCTGGTGCGCGTAGAGGATGGAAGAGTTTTACAACAACCCGTTCCGATGTGACCCAGCGATGGATGAGGTGTGCTACGCCAGTGTGCAGTTCCTTTCACCAGAGGCTTTGCCTGTGGGGGCGGAGGGCTTGAAGGACGGCGATTTTTTTCGCGTGTCCTCGGCCCTTCGTTTTCAGTCGCAGCTGAGTGAGGCACTGAGAGCCAACAGCACGCTTCGAAGCACCTATGAGGTTCATATTGAGACACAGCGAAGGGAGATTGACCGCCTTGGTGATGAAAACAACGAGCTTCAGAAAAAGTTGACTAGGATGGAGTCGCAGTTGCGGTCCGTTACTTTAGAGAAGGAGTGTTCAGAAATGGCGTACAAGCGGGAGAGTGAGAAGAACGTGTTATTGGAAGAGAAAGTCAGGGCTTTAGAGAATGAACTGAACTCGGTGGAAAGACGCACACGGGATCTGAGAGCTGCGTTCCGCACATCCCCTCAGCACTCTGACGAGCATGAGAAGCCTTCATCCCGTATCCGCCCCCTCCGTTTACAGCAATCACAGTACAGTGATTATCAGGAGTCAAGAACGTCATCACCGCATAGGAATAACCGTGCTCGATACTCACTGGAAGCTACACACATGGGACCGGAGTGGAGTGCTCGCCATAGTGAACCACAAGAGTGGAGAGCTGCCGAAGGGACGGCAGCGTCCAAGCGATCGGAGACTACGAATAGTATGAAAATGGGATCGGCGAGGAGGGACGCGAATTATTCCGCAAAGGGCACTGCCTATCCCACTCAAAATAATGAGGAAGACCAGTATGCGACTGTGAAAGAGCTAGAGAGGCGCCTGCTGCAGGAAAATCAAGCAAAGGATGAGATAGAAAAACAGCTGCAAAAGATAGAGTGTACAAGAATTCGCACTGGCGCCGAAAGGGCGAAGAAGATTGCATTGGAGAGGAATTTTTTAGCCGCCCAACGAACTGTAGGAGAAATTCGGATGCGGCTTCGGTCGCTTGCCGCATTGGTGCGATAAGCGAGTTGCTTTGCAGCGTGTTTTGTTGTTGACTTACTGCACGGTATGGTACCCGGGCGCTGGGTTTGCCGTTGAGACGAGTGCACCACACCTGTGGTTTCGCTTTAAGGGACATTTTTGTTTTCCTTGCGGCAGCATGCATCTGCTGCATGCTGAAGCTGCGCCCGTTGTTCCAGCGAAAGGGTAGTTGAGAAGTGGGCAGTTATGGAGTGGCTGCTGTCCCCTTTGTTTTTGACATTATAATCTTTTTTCTTTTTTGGCTAATGGGAAACAGTGAATCTGACTCTGGGAGGGGGGGAGGGGGGGAGGGGAATGTTCCTTCTTCGAGACAGAAGGCATATGTATCGGAGGGAAAGGGGAACTTATATAAATCCTGAGAGAATGCATGGAACTTGTATTGCCTGCGTCCACACCTGCAGGGGCGATGCGAAACATAAAAAGGGGTGTAGCTATATATTTCGTGTTTATTGTTGTTTTGTGCTGCGACGGTGGCCACTGATGGTGTTTTTTTTTCTTTGCTTCTGTTACTGCGCTTTTCCCCGACAGTTCTGCGGGCTGGTGGCCCTCGATTTATTCTCTAGGCGCTCTGCAGTCCGGGGGCGGTGCGGCGCGCCCTTTCACCCATCCCTGCTCAACTGAGGAGGGAAGCGTCTGCTTGCTGCATCTGGACAGGAGGATAAACTGACTGAAAGAAAAAGGCAGGCGGACATTTGTGGTGGGGGTGGGGGTTTGGGTGGAATATCGGCGTCACAGCTGCATCCTCGTTGGGGTAGCTGTCTGCTTTGAGGCAAGCAGCGCGATGGAAACAAGGCTACCGTCTTAGAAGGAAATGGGTCAATACCGCATTTACTGTGGAAGAGAACGTCATGGAGATTCTAAAGCGAAGGAAGACAAAGTGGAAAAAAAAAGATGTATCCTGCAATTTTTTTATGTAAAAATGAAGTTTTTACAACTGAGGAACCTCTAG